TTTGCAATATGAGTAAATTGAGAGTATTCCTTGAGCTCACATGGAACTAGATTTATTGTCTGTTGCTGTAAGTTTTTTGTACTGATGTTGTTTGCTTTAGCAATTGCTGTTCTTTGCTTGATCTCAGTTTAATATGGAGTTAAAGAGCATGAACTTGAAACTGGGAATAAATGTGCATTCGACATGCTGCTTGCTGCTTTTACTTTTTATGTCTATGTGTAACAGACAATCTGGGTTTTTTTCAAATTCTTTTGCTCATAATTGGCTATTGCATATAAATTTGAGTGTGCAAAAGCTGTTAATTAAGAAGCTGGCTTGGGAAATAGCATTTTTAATATTCCCCTTTGAATCCATTGCATAATTATTGCATCCAATTCATCTTATACTAAGAAACTTTTTGTTGTTGTTTTTGTGATGAAGATGTAAAAGTAGAAAGGTTCTAATTCTGAAATATATCACCCAGTCTTCAAGAGTCCTATTTTTTCTTCAGTATGTGGTTCACCATCAGTGAAGCATTTACAAATTTGTCTCTGACTGAGCTGTTTCAAAGATCTTGGGGGCATGCAGAGATACTTGATCTATACTTTCAGTCAGTTAGATAGTAGATACATGCTAATGTTCTTATCAAATATCAGTCTTGAATTACATTGTACTCACTCTCGTTTAGAATTCGATGCCAAAAGGACTGGTTATGGAGGTATTAGAGTTTGATATGTTTGCCTGTCTTCCACTGAAAAACTGGTCTGCACAGAAAGTAAAAAGTTCTTCAAAATGAAGGCAGGAATTACTGAACTCACTTCCCACTCTGTTATTTGGCTTATTGCAACCTTGCAAAATTTTAATGAAAATTTAGCAAGTAAAAATTAAAATAACTCTTCTTTATTAATAAAACAAGCATTAAAGGGAAGTAGAATGGAAAGATACATTACTTATTTTGCTCTATTCATTACCTCTTGCTCACTATCTACTGAGAGTTTGCAGGGATGTTTTATCACCTCCATCAAGATACAAAAAATTCTCCCATTTTCCCCCTGAGCTGACTCACTTTTGACCTGGTTACCTTCACTTTATTTCCAGAATACTAGATTATAATGCATTAAATTCTGTACACTTTCAGACTAAGTGAGATCCCTTCGAATGAGCAGGACTGCATACCCTAGCAATGCTATCACTAAAATAGACATGCTTGTTTCCAACTAATCCTAAATAAAAAAATATCTTGTGTTTCACTGAAGGCATAAACTATCATACTGGTAATTTATACCTTTTAAACATTTTATCTCAAGCTTTAAATAGGCAGATAATTTTCTACTTTCCATTTTCCACCAATAGATGGCAGGTGAAGCTCTAGAAAATTATTCACTTGATACAGCTTGAGATAATCTATAATTTGAAAGTACATAGCCAGCTGTAAATTACTGCTCTCTGATGCCTCTTTAGATGTGATCATGACTGTTCTAGCCCATCCACTTTGCATTACAAACCTTAGTCTAAGTTTAGGAATACCGCCATGTTGTATGTAGAACTCTTATTTCTTTTGTCCCACTCCATTAGGTCAAACTGAAGTTTGTGCACACTGAGTTCTCTCTTGGTTGAGAAGGTACTGTCAGTGTGGTGTAGCAGCTGTTACATTCATTCAGTGCCTTAAGACTGAGCTTTCTGTAACTAAACAAGAAAAGCTCTGCATTCATGCACATGTCAGAAATCACACCAGTTATAGGCCACAACAGAATAGCTTAAAGCTCAGTGATTTCCAGTTCCAGAAAAGCTAGAAACACAAGGAGGGAGCGCAGGAGGAGAAAGAGCCTACTGCACTGACAAAGCTTATTCTAATATACCTCATTAAGGATGCTCCTAATGTGTTAAAATATTTCTTTATATATGATGCTGCATTTTTTAAAATTCATTTGCTTTTTCCAAAACACAAAAGCAGGAGGGATTGAATCTTGTTCACATACAAGCTAAAAGGACATGGTGCTAAAAGTCACAATAGAAGCATAAAAAAAGATGAAGACTCATGCTATAATTGTTTTAAGGCAACAAGTAATATGTTGTAGTCAATTAATTGTAGGATCTAATTGAAAAATGAATAGAAGTGTGCATAAACCACGGGGTTTAGGACTGTAGAGCACAAAAGGATACCTTTCCCTCTAGGCAATCTGCATTAGTAAATGTACATTATTTTTCCTGCAAAATGATTTCCTGAAATCAGTCTGCCTCATAATTGCCCTGCTGTTACTGGCAGCCTAAGTATTGATGACTAAGTGACCATTAGAGTTCAGCTGGTTCTTGTATATATCACAATACCTCCTCCAGGCTGACTGAGTAGACAAATTTGATTGCTCTCATCCCTGCATTGCACCTTTGATGATTTCTATTCATTCACTCCATTCAGTAATCCTTACATTTTTATAAGTGAATTTAGTTTTCTGAGCTCCACTTCTAAGTGTAATTTGCAGAATATATTTCACTATTTGGTACCTTCCACTGTTTTGCTGGCAACAGCAGCAAAACATGGATAAAACCCAAGGGCATCAGGAAACATCAGTGGTTAGACACTGAACAACGAAGATCATGCACCTCATTCAGTGACTATTAATCACTCTGTACCAAAAATGTTACAGAAAAGAAGGGAGGATATCTAAAGCTGATTCAAATGAACGGCTCTCCAGTGAACGGGGGAAGTTTGGTAGCATACATCATGACCAAAACAAATTACAAAACCTAATTTTGGATTACCAATTTAGGTGTCTTTGTCTTTCTAGCCCAGACAACAAAGACAACAGAGCTGCTGGAATAAACCTCTGCAGAAAAATCTTGACTGCACAGGAACCTGAACTTCTGTCTCTATCACCTCAGTCAAATACCCCAAATAAGACAACGTGAATGACCCCTTCAGATACTGTACCTGTTACTGAATGTGAAACAAATGTGTGCAATTAATAACCAAATTCCCAAGGGCCAGGCCACAGCATGCAAAACCAGCACATGACCACAGACTGGACAGTAGCAGGATGCTAAGCTGCACATTACCTTGACTCTCAAATAACAGACAGCACATTCTATCACAACAGAACTATTAAATAATCAGACTGTCTCAAAGCTACACATTTGCCCTTAGCTTGTCTTTGCTTGGAGCCTGTCTCCCTGAAGAGTAAACTTTTCATTCAAACCTCAGCTGAGAGCAGCCTGTAGTCAGTGAAACTGCAGAGAAAGGTCTGTAAACAATACCTGCTCTGTAGAGAACAAGCTGACCTTTATAGATGTTAAACAAAACAAAAAGGGTTGATTGATGCTGGGCAGTACCTGCTCTCCAAAATATTAAAACCAAGAAAGTCAATGGAAGGTTAGTTCATGAACATACAGTGTGATAAATAATGTCAGTGGGTGGTGGGGTAGGGAAGGGGAAAGCATGATTTGGTTAAATATTTAGGACAAAAAGCCTGTATGTTAATCTGGAAAAAGAAAAAATGTGTATTGCTGACCTCTGTTAAATGGAAAAAAAAAAAACCAAAACAACCAAACTTATGTTATCTAGAGCAGGTCAGTTGCTGAAGTCTTCATGGCTCATTTCTTAAATTCTGATTAACAGAGTAAGACATTGTAGGTTTTTAGAATAAGAAATCTATTTGTAAATTCCAACAGATAATTACAATTTAGCCACAAATGTGCTACTAATATAGAAAAGGACAATCTAACCTAGATAGAATCATGGAATCGCTTATGTTGGAAAAGGCCCTCCAGATCATCAAGTCCAACCACAACCCAGCACTGCCAAGTCCCCCCCTTAGACCATGTCTCTCAGGGGAACATCTACAAGTCTTTTAAATACCTCCAGGGCTGTCGACTCAACCACTTCCCTGGGCAGCCTGTGCCAATGCTTTATAAACCTTTCAGTGAACAAACTGTTACTAATACGCAATTTAAGGCAGTTTCTTCTTTTCCTCTCACTTCTGTCTTGGGAAGAGACTGATACCTAGCTTGCTATAACCTCCTTTCTGGTAGTTTCAGTTTCAGTCTGCCTGTGTCTTGTGCATCCCCACAGCTCTCATCCAGTGGTAACTGGACACAAGTGCAGTTATTTACAGACAACTACAATATTGTCTCAGAAGCAAAAGGCACAACCCCACAGCACCTTTCCAATACTGTAAACTAGGACCTAACCATGTAGTGAAAGCAATGCCCAGGACAGAATTACCTTAATACAAAAACATTTATGCCCAAACTAAAATGCTGTCCTTGTCATGCTTTTTACACACTTTAACTGTGGTTTCTAGAAGACAACAAAAATGCATTTGGACAGGAGAGGAGCTATCTGGCATCAAAATTTTTTGCAATGCAGGATGACTTGGAGGAAGTAAAGTATCATATTATGATTATGCAATAAATCTGCTGAGAATCTGAGATGAAAGAGTTGAGATCACTGAAGTCAAGAGGTATTTCAATTTCAGATCAGCATCTCTCACTGGCTTTTAAGCAAAAATATAAATCATGTAGCTCCAAAAAAATAAGTTAATAATCAGCATATTTTAGGCAATTTTGTCGAAAGTGAGGAAGAGAACTCTGCTAATGAAACATGAAAGTGCAAGTACATGTCTTGGGATTGGCTATTAGGTAAGCTCTGAATAAAATTGTGGCAAAAAGAAGTAACTTTTCAGACAACTCCCAAAAGCAAAGTTATTATTACATTATGAATCTGTGTTAAAGGGACAAAGAAGCTTGTGAAACCGGTGGAGAAATGTGTAAAAATAGGAGAGAAAAATAAATAGTTATCCAACAATAAATGCATTCAGAAGATCAGCCATAACACTTATTGATGTGGACTGACTTTCAGAAATTCTGAGCTGAGTTTAACAGAAGCTCAGGATCACTGAATATCAAGAAAATTATTTTATTCCTGTGCACTCTGTAACACACTGCATAGTATCCCATTCATTTTAGCTGCAGACAAATGACTGAAAACTTCTACATTTTCCTGGTTGCAAACTAAAACTATTTACCATTGGTGTGGCCTCTGTGAAATCCATCAGGAGGTCACCTGGCTCCAAAGCAAATGTACTCCCAGCATCTGTGGAACTCTAAAGGCAAAAAAGAAACCCAGCATTGGAATAAAGAACCATTTAATTTCTGTGGGGTTTTCTTGTTATTTTTGTTCGGTTTTTTAATTCCTTAAAGCACAGATTGCCAAATGGATTTTAAATTTCACACCACGTTTTTCAGGTGTGGCTACTCAGGAAAGATAAAAAACATAATTACGCACCTTTAAAATCCATGTGAGTAATCTTGATCCACTGCCCACTAATGCTGAGGAAAAGCTGTTATGGATTTTATCTGGGTCTTGGAGCAGGCTCTCAATACTTCCTTACACAACAAGTTAAACATATCACTACAACTCTGCATTAAAAACTGCTTTTAAATGTAGAATTACTCCATCTAGGGAAAACCTTTTACTCCCAACTCCCTCCTATCTTTCCTGAACCCTCTCCCAAGTGACAAGAGCTCATCCCTTTGTGTGTTACCTTGCCACCGGGCGAAACCTGTGCTTGTCCTTCCGATGTTTGTGGCGTGCACGTTTTCTGCGACCCGGGAGAGGCTGAAGACACAGGTGTTGATGCTGCTGCTGCTGCTGCCAGTGCAGGAGGAAGGTCATCTTCATCACTGTCATTGATAAAAACAGACAGATTTTCTCATTAAAAATGCCACTGGACTTTTGACTGCACTTGTGTCAGAGGAGGCACTGGTAACCTGTATGTCTGCTGTAGTGCTTTGAAGTGAAGCTCCATTTACTCTTCCCGCTAAAAAGCAGGTACCTTTTCAAATAAATTAGATTTTTTTTCAAGCTTTAAAGATTCCTTAAAAAATGGATTGGTTAGGTACTTCTCATCTGCAAATGGAAATCTTATGGTTATTAGGTGCAAGTAGTGTTTCTATGGATTATGTATATATGCATGAGTGAACGGACTAGATATTACTCCACTTTAATGTTTATTCCTTTCCATGGAGGCTGGCAGCCTTGATAAGAACAGATATGGTGACATCCATCCATGGATCTGACTGCTTCATTGGCTTCAGACAACGCTAGGTTTGACACCCATTATGGAGCTAGTCTATGCTTCTATTTTCAAACTGTATTTAAAGGAATTTGATTGACTCCAAAAAGGGTCTCTTTAAAAACATTCTTGTGAGGGTATCTTTTTCCTGTCCCATTTATTCCATTTACAGAGAAAACATTTTATTTAGGATGAGGTTGCCTGCTTCCCCTGGGCTTTAGGTCATGAAGCTGAACTCTTTCCATCTCACCTACTGTCACTACTAAATGGAAGCCAGTAAAGAATGTTACACCTTCATTTACTTTTGCAGAACCCTATTGACTACAGATCACTGGGATCAGTCAGCCCTGAGTCAGGATGCTTCCACTTGTTAATTGCATTTGGATGGAGGTAAACAGAGTCATAATTTGGCCTACAGAAGCCTTATTACTGGGAATGATGTGTGAAAAGACTACAGATTGACAGCTTAATGCACAGTGAAAAATAATGAGAAAAATTACTTCTGCTCATAAAACAGCACTAATTTTAACTACCAATTAGGTACTCACAGCGCACAGAAGGCTGCCATGCCAGCTTGACTGCATGTATCTGCCTTGCCAGATACTTCCAGAACAGAACTACACTTGATTTAGTGCCACTTGAAGGCAGCATGCCTGGACAACACAAAAACCTTCAAAACTACATGACATACAGGTTATGCAACTTTATGCTGGGTTACCTAGCATTGTTTTTTAATTATGATGTAAAATTTTGGTGATTAATATTATCTTTTTCAAACTTAATTTTTTATTCCTTCTGGTGAGGGATAGAATTCAGCACCATAGCATGCAGAGTACACAGGTTTTATGCTGGAAAGAAATTGTGAAATATTTTGGACCTGTTGAATAGACATTTTATTAATGTAACAAGCCCAGAGCTGAGCTGTTGACCTAGTTAATCTCTCTTTCAGAAACATGTAGATGACATTTTCCCAGTCCTTGGTCTCCACTCTCAGCAGGAATTCACTGGCACCCTCCCATTCTTTCTGAGTCAAGTTCCTCTGGTGTATACACGGAAGTGGAAAAATAAGAGTTAGGGTTGATTTATCAGCCATCTAGCCATGAGCACACTAGCTGCAAGACTGAGAAACGGCCTTTACTGTTATTACTTTCATAATAATCCTTTGCTGTTTCTTCACATTTCCCATGTTTGCATTCCAGATACAAGATAATTTAAATTGAACAGAATTTGAGTTTACAAAAGCAAAAAAAAAAAAAAAATTAGGGCCCATATTTTTCACTAGGGAGTCCTTGGCCCTACACATGGCCACTGTATAGGTGGCCCCTGTGGGTAGATGTGCACATCTGCTGTTCCTCACACCTTATCCTGGACAACTAAAAATCCACATGGGAGCAAGACATGTTCAAAACTGTTCATCAAAACCTCATCAATCAAAAAGTGATTGTGTGTTTCTACATGCCAGTCTTGCCCTCTTGGACAAATACCAGTTTGGCTAATAGCTCATTTTCCTCCTAGCTTCAATTTGACTAGTTCCTCTGTTTCTTGTCCTAAATAATTTTTCAGTTTTGGTAATGCAGATTGTTACAAAGACAACGTTTTTAACAGTGAAACAAAAAGTCCCAACATATTGATATTTATTAGAATCCTTTTTAAGAGACAAGAAATACATTTATTCACATTAGAATGCAGAAATCCTGGATGGACTAACAGTTGCCATTCCACACAGAAAGCATACATATTTTTTTCCTTTATAATAGCATTGGTATCCTTGTACTTATAAGTTTATGCTGACATTATTCCTTTTTCCCTTTAATTTCTGGTGGCCTTGTCTGTCTTTTCATGGGAGGACAAATCAACATTGACTTTCACTTCTGCTCAGTACCTCACATCTCTAGAGACTTTCAAGTGGAATGAATTATGTGTAAATGGGATGCCAAAGCCCTCTAAGCACAGATCCCTCTTTCCAGGACTGAGAGAATTCGTTTTGCTGGCTGTAGCTGTAGCAGGCTCAGCAATTTCTTCATGTGACAAATCACAGAGAGGGAGGGTGCACTCTCTGAGAGGCAATGGCTCACAGCACAGCTTGATGCCCCAACAACTAAAGAATGTTTTCCTTATTTTGAAAATGGGGTTGTAATGAAGCCAACAGAGCAGCTTGTTCCAGCTCACACCAGGTCTTTGACATTTCATGTGGAAAAGAGGTTTTTAATTCCTAATCCATAAGCTTGGGAAAAGGTGGATGGCTTGCAATTCAAAGGGTTAGCCACTGCATAGGAAAAGCAAATTCATTTTTGTATTAAAAGCATGAAGATTCCCAGTAATGAAAGGAATGGTATCGGCATAAGATCATTATCATGTAATTGCACTCATGACTTTCAGAAGGCACAGCTAGAGCAATAATTAGCATCCCCCTTCATTTTCAGCTGTAGTAGGCAAAACCACAAAGATAATGCTGTATGTTACTCACAAACTGTACTGCCTCGTTAACTTCCTCACACGGGGAGCTTTAACCTCCTGCTTTTCTGCAGGGACAGTTGTTGGTGTAGTTTCAGGTCTCACTGGAGCTGGACTTCTGAAAATAGCAAGAAAAACATATGTCATAGAGGCTCTATTTAAACTACTTCAGGCATATCACCAAAGTTCTAACTCATCGACACTTACTTATCTTGCAAAGTGGCTAGTGCCCATTGGAGTTCATCCTTTTGTTCCATTTATAGTTCACTGGCCAGTGTGTGTGTGTGTACAGAAAAGGATGTGTGAACTCACCCTCCTGTGCTGGGCATACCATTTATAGAAGCAGCCACTGGTTACAAACACAGAGCCTATGTCAAAGACCATGTGGAAATGTCACTGTTTCCAAAATATCACATTTTAATAACAGACCAGCAGTTCAGTCACGTCAGAAACATTTTTGCAAAACATATGTTTAACAAAAACTTTTTTATGAATTGTGAAACCTGTTCTGCTTATAATATTTTTTATTTGAAATTAAACATTATCCTTCCACAGTTGAAAGAACAGCTCAAGGGAAATGAACTAATGGATATGATCCAAGAAAAATGATCAATTTTTTTCCAGCTTGCTAGAAAAAAGCAAAACTCAGATGTGTTTCAGATGCTCATTAATGTGAAATACATCTGCAGAGCTTCAGCAAAGGAAAGACATGGCAATGAGGAGGTCCACATGAAAGAATCTTCTCCTTAACCATATATCAGTAGAATTAACTCAGGCTTCAATTAAAAAAAATCATAAATACTAAATAAAAGATCCTCATGACCTTGGGAGGAAACCATTTCAACCATGAGCTTGAGGGGCATGAAGACACATGAAACATCTTAAATAGTGCTTTTACTTGAAGCAACAGGTTATGATTAAATATACTATATGTGTACTATAAACATAATAAATATGCCAAACATTAAAAAAATAATTTGAAAGTCCTGATTAAAAATTTGTGAGGTGGTATTCTGCCATCTAATCTGAAGTCAGATTCTAAATTATTAACTTGAGCAGCCCTACTGATTGCTGATGGGACTGCATATGCACTGAGGTACATTTCACAAATGGCAAACGTTTTTCTAGTCTACTTACATTGTATTAGCCTTCTAAAGCCTTAATAAGACACGCTTGTTTAATTTTCACTATTGCAGATCCCTCTGATGCCCCTGTGTGCTTTAAGCTTTGCTAGCTCTCTTTGATAACTTCTGAATCTGATGTTGAGCTACAACAGAACCTACTGAGATGGCACAGCCTTCAGGTTATATATTCAGTTTTCCTAAATATTTCTTAGTCTTTGGAGACGTCACAGAGCATAAGATGGAACAGTGGAAAATAGTAAAGTACAAAGGGCATAAATACATAATAAACTTGATTACTAGTTCCACTTCTCATAAAACAACTTTTGTCAATTATTTACCTGCTATTTGTTCCCATTAAATCAAGAAGTTGGTATAGATAGCAGCAAGATATCAATATCAGACATATTTCCTTTCCTCTGTTCAAATTTCAGTGTCAGTCATTTTTATCACAGATTTCTCAATGATATTAATGCAGAACAAGCCAGCCAGATCTGAAGGCCTTTTGCTGAGTTTGTTAGGCTATTAGGCTGGCAAATAAGGGAAAGATAAGCAAAGGGGGGGGGGGGGGGGGGAGGGGGAAGCCCAAATAATCTGTTTTAGTCTTGAATTCAGTATATCTGACCTGAAAATATGTGAATCAACCTCATTATGGAAGCTCCCAAGTTCGTTTTGATCAAGTCAGACTTCAGATTGGAAGACAACATTAGCTCTTCTTTTCCTGAAACAAAGGTATCTTTTGGCTACTGAAAAAAATTACTTGTTCTATTTGCTCAAAGTGATTTCCAATTGAAGTCTGACATAAGCAGGATAAATTTGTTAAGACACATTAAACAACAGAAAATCACATTCTGAAGGGGTGTAAATGACTGTAATTATTTTCAGCTCAAATATATTGGCTGACATTCTTGCTCTGTATGAATGGTCCTCACAACTTTCCAATAATTTTGTAAGAGGATACCTTACAATTTTTAAATCTTTTCACCAACTCAATGAGAGTGGAAATAGAGTGGTATAAACTACATGAGTTGAATAACATTTGCTCAAAATGACATCAAGTGATGAATTAATACTATGAAGGGGTTCAAGAAACAGCAAAGTGTAGAATAGGAAAGCTGGTTACAAATCTATTTCCAGTTCATGAGTGCTTCAAATTTTTCAGGACAACATTATAACCTGTGATGTAAGTCAGTCATATATTTTCACACAAAGGAAGCTTTGAAGTGATAATTTCAGCTCTTTTATTACGTTTCATTTTACAAAGCCTGTGTATCTCCTTTGGAATACCGTGGTTTGTAATTTAAGAAAAAAAAAAGGAAGAGGTGGGGCTTTTGAAGCAGTTATCTCAATTGTCACAATCAAATTTTTGTTTGAAAAGATGTAGTGCAATTTTGTAACTAAAGCAGTTTGCAATGATTTCAAAGCAAGTTGTAAAACTCACTTATACATATGAAAAATTTTTAAATTCTAAGTCTGAATTAATGCTGAAAAAAATGTTTAACATGAAAAATTTCACTCAACTGTAAATAAAATGTTTGAGATACAAACAATGCCTACTCTCTAATCCAATAGAAAGATGCAAAACTTATTATTTTCCTTTGAATGCTGCAGATTTTCAAGGAGGAAAAAAAAGGTCAAGTAAACATTAGACACACCTACTCCTTTTTCAGCCATTGTAATTGCTCAGATAAACTTATGTTTTGTACTACACCAGTAAAGTATTCCACTCACTTATTTTGCGAAATCAATACTATTTTAAAGGCAAAATCTTCTTTCCCATTATGATAAAATTTTGCCATAGGTTTTGTTAGAGGCTGGTGGCAGCAAGTACCTTTCCCCTGCTATTTCTCAGGCCTCTGGGGAAGGATAAGCATCATTTATTGCACCATTTATTGCACATTTTGAGAAGCTGCAGGTTAGCTAGGATGAAAATTGAAGTTACTCCCGAATGAAAAGGAGCTGTGGCAATGCCTCTACCCAAAGAGGCCATTAGCACAAGATGAAATGTTAGACTAGTCCTACAAACGGCAGAGCTGCAATTTTGTCCTCATTAAAACCTTGCTAGGTTACCTCTTTCCACACCAGGCTAAAAATTCCACGACAGCTCCTGTTCCATCTTCAAACATTCTTCCTCAGTCTGGATCTGCTCAGAACTGTTGCTACTCTCTCAACAGCAACTAGATGCAAGTAGTGCTCAGCTTGATCAACCCAGTGCCCAATCTGTCTTTTAAAAATGGCAGGCTTTTAATATCATAGAAACTCTTAAAAATCTCATTGATATTCCAGAAAAAGTAGCAGAATAACTTCTGTTACTGTCCTTTGATTTCTACAGCCAGAATTCTTATATGGAAAGATATGATTTTTGAAGAGAAGCCCTGCAATTATTTCAATTATTTAAATAGAGTGATTATGTGCAGATGTCACCATTTCAAGTTTGTAGTCCTATATAAATTACACAGCTATATAAATCACAGTAGTCCTGTACTACAGCTTGAGGAAAAGTATAGGAGGAAAGTGTTAAAGGATCAGTGGGACTCAGAATTAAAATGAAAAATAAAATGTACAGTGTATTACAGTTCCTTTAGAAGGCTCTTTTTCAATGTCATTAATTCATAAACCTTTTTCCTGTAACAGTACCCAACCACTACTGCATACAAATGAAGGTACTGAACCAAGACAGAGTTACTTAATGACCTGGCACCTTACATAAAAATCTGTCGCTTCCTGGTGAGAATGACAATAACAACCACGAATGTCAGCATGCAGTGGCAGGTCATCAGAAACTGCCTGTGCACTGAGAGCCCCAGCACCCTTCTGAGCCACAGCCAGCACGCCCTCCTGAACTAGCTTCAGCCTGTTCCACCAGCCTGCACAGCAACACAAACATGACCCAGAGAGAGATCTCCCCCAAACCCAAGGAATCTGTTTTGTTCTCAGACTAGCAGCCAAGGAGGTGACTGAAACCAAAACTACTCACAAAAAAAAATTACCCTGTGGAACATTTCAAGTGAGCACAGATGTACGCTGGTTTACCTTGAACCTTCCTTGGGGGTGGCATGCATGTGCTCATGCTGAGGGACTCAGGGTGTCCCGCCTCACCTTGGCTCTGATTGCAAGGCTGAGGCTGCACGGCTCCTGCACCACCCATTTGTGTGCCATGGCTTCCTTGTCCCCTGCTTGGGAGGCTCTGGACAGACCTCCAAGCTTGTTTGAAACGTGGCAATTGGGCTATGCGGGATAAAATGATTGTCCACGTCATAAACTGATGGCATTAATTAACTTCTCTTGCCTTGGAGGATGCAGTTCAGGATTTTAAAACTACCAAAGTCTGCTGGGGGAACACACCTCCTGCACTTCTCTGTAACAGGCTTTATCCTCTTTACTTCTCTTTCTCTTTGTGTCTATTTTGTCATCTGGAACAATACCTCTCCCTGTGTCTTCCCAAACTGATGCCAAGAGATAGAGGATAAAAACCCCATGATTACAAGGATACAGCCAGCTGCATGAAAGTTAACCTGCTTTCAGATGCTGACTCATGGAAAAGGAAAAAAAAAAAGCCCCAGAGGCTGATTTTGGCTGCAGAATTCCTTTTGAGTGGGAACATGATAGTGAAAACTTGGGAAGGATAAGCAAGAAAGAAAGGAAGGAAAAGGAAAAATACTTGATAGATGCATTCTCTTGTATATCAAAGACATAGCCTAACAAGCTAAGCAAACACAGAAAAACACTCAAATCTTTCCTAAGCCTGTGCTCTTAGTATTTCACACATTTCTTTTCCAAAGGTCATCTGAAGTTAAGAAACAGTATGTTCTTTTTCCCTTTGATAAGGTACCTTTTCTCAGAAGACAAGTTAGCTCTTCAAAACATTGCTTGGACATTTTAAAGCTACTGCCCGTATCAAATTTTCTGAATAAAGTTTTTTTCTTCTTTTTACCTCCCATACCCCCCCCTCCTTATAGATTGCAGACGTATAAAAAAATCCTTGCTACAGATTATG